TCAATGGTAATAACAAAAATATTCCTAATCCTCTAGCACGACAACTTAATCACAATAAATTACTCAATTCTCAATCCCCGATCCTTGATCTTCGATCTTCGATCCCTTATTCCTTGATCCTGGATGTCATTACTAACATCTCACACATAGACCCTTGGTCTATCCACTCATTAGCACCTATGCTAACTACTTATTATAACCATTATAGTAACACCACTATCAACATAACATCACTTGGAGCATGTCCAATACCATGATCATCATCATAGATACATCACCATCATGACTATCTCAGTCATGAACAATACCATAAGCATCACCATACCATGATCACCATGAAAAGAGTCAGTCTCACTCTTGTACCTTACTTCACCCGCCTGTAGTCGCTCCTATAGACCACTCTGTAGCTTTCCCTACATATATGCTTGAGTAGTTCTGAGCATGTAATCCAGACACACAAGGACAAGGAAAACACCATCACCCCACACAAGGAAGGTTCAATACCTGAGCAACCCTTCCTTTGCACACAAGGCAAAAGGAAACACCTATCGCAGATAGAACCAAGATTTACTAGGTATAACTAGTAGACCTATTCTCCACTCTCATGCTCATCAACCACATACTCAAGTACATCCCAATACTCACTCATGCTTCAACCTCAACCACAAGTCAAACTTTACCTTAAACATAACCATTAATCTCATTCTCTGATTATTATCATATTCTATAGCTCCTTAAGCTAAGTCCGCATCCATTGTCCATCAAAACGCGCTTTTCCAATAAAATTACACTAGGATAATCGATTATCATAAGTGATAATCGATTATTCTCAAAACGTTCACATTTACACAAAATACCTTGTGATAATCGATTATCACTTAAGATAATAAATTATCTCAATGATTCTGACACAACAAATTTCTAGATTCATCACGTATGAAGGGATAATCGATTATCATCCCATATAATCGATTATTCCCGAAACACAATGTGCAAATAATCGATTATCTTAATGATTCTTTGGATATCTTGAAGTGTTTTAATGCAGCTGCAACTAAGTTGTGCTTATGAAAGTGTGAAAATAAATTGATTAAAGCTTCATGAAACCTTAAAGATAAACCCAAGAATAACAAATAATTAAAAACCACAAAAAATCAAGTCAAACATGGCATGAAGAAGACAAGAAAAACATGAAAAAGTAAAAGAAGTTTAGCCGAACCAAACTCAATTTGGTTAAGCTAGGAAGAGGAAATAGACACAAAAATTAAACCTTGTATTTTCTCTATTTTTTTCAAGAAAAAAGAGCTTTGATAATTAATAATTTTTTATAATAAAATATAATTGGGAACAAATATATCTTTATATATTTTATTTAATATTTTAAAATAATTATTTTATTTAAATATATCAATAAAATATATAATGTTTAATATGTATTTTGATCTCTTGGTTTGTTAATTTTATTCGAAGTAGTCATATTTTTTTTACATGTTAACAAACTCTCATATTTTGTGAAAACAGTTGAAATTGATTCTTTTTGCTGTCCCATATTTTGTAAATGGATTTGTTTTCTTAAAGCGTTAAAAATGTCCAAGACTCTTCATAAACAAAACTGAATAAATGCTTCAATTTTTTATTGTGCAGCACGATATAATATTGAACATTTCTCTAATATTGAACATTTCAGCGTACCAAGTAAAATTTATCAAAATTTTTGAAAAATAGAAAAAGTAGAAAAATTCTAATTTAACTGTTTTGAAACTAAAATCTTACTTAATCCCATAATTTAATAATTGCTAGGGCGGCTAATCGTGCGAAATGGTCCATTGTTATCCTAACATACTGTTGGGCTACCAATTCTTGTTTCTCGAAACTTTGTAAAGCAAACAACAGTGCTCATGCTTCCAAAATTCAGGCCGGCAGCGGCGGCGGCACTTGTGGTGGCTCCACCAATTTTGCTGAGAAAAACGATACCTCTTGTCCAAGCAATGACTACCTAACATTTTTTAAACTTACCCAAAACGATTTTAATATTATTTCCACAAAAGAGACAAAATTATTTTCAGTAAAAAAGGAGACAACACTGAAATCGAAACCGGTTCTTCGCGGGATCCAAAGTAACTAATTTTTAAATGATAAAATTACCCATTTATTTATTTTCTTCAGTGCAATTTTTCATTTTTTATTTTAAAAAATACATTTAAAAAGTAAGAAGATTTAGTTGCAAATTTGGCACAAAAGGTGAACGCCATGTCATGTACGAATCATGATACATACACAGAGAAAGACAGCTTGAAACACTGAATAACGCGCAAAGTTGATCTCTGTCAGTAGTTCTTCACTGAAGCCATTGGCCATTGTCGTTGCCATTGCCCAACCAATTTACTACTCTCTCCCTCTCTTTAGGGTTTCGGGGATCTAAAAAAGAAGAACCTTTCTTCATAACTCGGTAATACGAATCCTCAGCTTCTTTCTAGAACCGCAATTCTTCTACATTCTGATTTCTTCTTTGCCGTTCCTAAACCCTAACATCCTTTTTGCTTCTGTTACTTCAGGGCATCAATTCTACTGTTTTGCCCTGGAAACGCTTGAAATCGAGCAATTAAGGTGCCGGAAAGGAAATCTTTCGTTTTTCTTTTTCTTTTTCGCTGAACTTTTTTTTTTTTGGGAAAAAGTATGTATCTTTGTGGAAAATGGGTCGTCGGCGAAAATAGAAAGTGCAGGGAATGAGACTAAATATGTTAGCTTTTTTGTGTGTGAAAATTGTAGGGGGTGAGTTGTGTTCCTGTTGATAAAGATTTCTTACAGTTGGGTTTTTGTGTTTATCCTTTTAGGGGTTTGGAATGAAGTGTTGGGAATGGTTAGAAGGTTGATTGTTTAACATTGAGGCGAGGAGATGGATTCTGCAAGGAGTTGGCTTCAGAAGTTCCAGCCTCGAGATAGAACCAGGGCTGCTGCGAAGAAGAAGGAGGAGGATAGTATTGGAGGAAACGAGGATTTGAATGCGGCGGTGGATGAAGCAGTGCTTTCCAGTGTCACGAAACAGAAGGTGGCCGCAGCAAAGCAGTACATTGAAAATCATTACAAGGAGCAAATGAAGAACCTTCAGGAGAGGAAAGAGCGGTATGATTCAGTTAATCGCTGATTCTGATAATGTTTTATGTATGGAGAAACATCAAGTGTTGACACTTGTTTGTTTTCAAACATCTTGCGTACAGTTTTTGGGTACATTTTTGTGGGATTCCTCTCTTTTCTATTAAAGACTTTCAGTAATTTTCTCGATATTAGATTTCTTATAACTGATGCGGTCGATTGATTCTAAAGTGTTATAATTTTTGTCAGATAGATAGTTGCTCTGTTGGTATTTGTTTTCATCATGCTAGACTCTAGTTCTGTAAATCTTCTAGTATATGTTTTTAGTATTGACGTGGCATTTTTCCATCGCTACATACATACTGCTCTTACTGAACGAACTTTCGAAAGGAGTCTGTGATTGAAAATTGAAGTTGGATTATGTCTCATTTAGTACATCCTTATGAAAACCTTTGAATTTCTAACTCAAATCTGGCACTGTAATTATTTCCGCCAGGATGTTTTAATGTTTTTGTGAAATTTGGTGGACTATTCATATAAAGAACTGGTTACTAATTCTATTTTTTCATGAAGCTTGTATGTGCACGTTCGTCTAATGGGTTGGAAGACATCTCTTTTCTATGTTCTTAACTGGAAAGTTTAATGACCCACTAGGGTTGCCTAGCTCTTATGGGTTGCCTAGTAGTATGCGTGAGATCGTAGGTTCTAAGCTTAGTGTGACCATTGTACTGCTAAGAAAAATTGGAAAGATTTAACGAAGACTTAAGTCATTGGCTCATATCACAAACTCTTAGTGTGGTAGATATAAAGTTCTCATAATTAACTGGATCAGAAAATGACTAATGTGGGAGATGGATTCCTCTGTTTTTTGTAAGGTGCATGTGAATATTTCTGAAACTGTATTTTGCTTGAATATTAATGTGTACCGTGTTAGTTGCTTCGGCAAACATATGATCAACTTTTGTAACACCTCACCTACTTATAACAGTCGAACCATCTTGGAAAAGAAGTTGGCTGATGCTGATGTCTCTGAGGAGGATCAAAACAACCTGCTTAATTTTTTAGAGAAAAAGGAAACTGAATATATGCGCCTTCAGAGGCATAAGATGGGTGTTGATGATTTTGAGTTATTAACAATGATAGGAAAAGGAGCATTTGGAGAGGTATGTATATGATTATCTTGCTATGATTGGCTTTACTTTCTTCCTTGAACTTCTGATCAATGAATGTACTGATTTCTATCTTAAAGTATATAAAAAGACTGATCTCTGTAAAATATTAACAATGATTGTCAACTTATAAAAGACTGATTTCTATCTTAAAATAGGATTAATTTGAAGATTTTATGTGGTGGAGCACCTACCGTTTCGAGAAACACAAATTCATTTTTGGCTTGTGTGTAAAAGGGTGACAGAATTTTCCAACCGATTTCCTCTCTCCCACTTTTTTTCTCTGAAAATTGAATTTTTCCAGGTCAGAGTCTGTAGGGAGAAGACTAGTGGTCATGTGTATGCAATGAAGAAGCTAAAAAAATCAGAGATGCTCCGCAGAGGCCAGGTTACAAGCATTGGTCAAGCTAGATTATGTTTTCCAGAATTTAGCAGTTTAAATGCCTATGATCAATAAGATCATTATACCTATTCCAATTTGTTATTTTTTTCAGGTTGAGCATGTTAAAGCTGAAAGGAATCTCCTCGCAGAGGTTGACAGCAATTGCATAGTCAAACTTTATTGTTCATTCCAGGATGCTGAATATTTGTATCTTATTATGGAGTATCTACCGGGTGGGGATATGATGACTCTACTAATGAGAAAGGATACCTTGACCGAAGATGAAGCCAGATTTTATGTTGGAGAAACTGTTCTGGCTATTGAATCTATACATAAACACAATTATATACACAGGTATAAATATACTTGTTCATTTACTTCCAGAGAAGTCCGATTTCCTTTGTTATTCCACATTTAACTTTTTTATGTAGGGTTATCTTTTAATTGATTCTGGTATAACTGAGTTAATTTCCAGAATATACTGTTACAAATGTGAGGCTTACATATTTGCTACTAATTTAAAAAGGATCTAATTGTGAAAACTGTTGATGTATGAAGCCACATCTATTTGTTTGTGTTTATCTTTTTGAAACTAAAGCAAACTTAATCATTTATATAGTATAAGTCTGTCTCTTCAATATTTTGTGCTACAGGGATATCAAGCCAGTCAATTTGTTACTTGAAAGATACGGGCACTTGAAATTGTCAGATTTTGGACTTTGTAAACCATTAGATTGCAATACACTTGAAGAAAAGGATTTTTCTGTGGGTCAGAATGTGAATGGAACTCCACAAAACGAAGAGCGGATAACTCCTAAACGTTCACAACAAGAACAACTTCAACATTGGCAAATGAACAGGAGAACACTTGTAAGTTCACTGCTATAACGCTATTATTATTTTTAAGTCCTTTTATTTGTTATGACAGTGCATGCAATTGTAAAACTTGATGTTGTGTTTTCCTTGTGATGCAGTGAAATGTTACAGTTTTGATAATTTGTACATATCAAAACCCTATCTGCTCACCCANATTTATTATAAGAGGGATATTCAGATATTCAAAATCATTTTTTAGATAATTATGGTTGAGGAGCTCTTTTTGTGTATGTGTTTCCATCTTAGGTACTGATAGAAACTGGTATTATATGAAAGGAAGTAGATGATATTGTAGGAGAACAATTACTTTACAGCCAAAACAGCATAACTCAAGCTTAGAAAAAGAAACCAGGAAAAACGGAAAATAGTAATCCAGAAAAGAAGATAACATCCAGAGTTGCAAGATGCAACCATGCCTACCAATACCTCACCCAATTTCTGTCACGCCCTTTTGCTACTTTCTCGTACCTCATGACTGAGTATTCCACTCCAATTTCCTTTTTCCATGTGGACTTTTTGTTATCCATATCTTACCTTCTAGTTTTGCATTTCCATGCTTTTAGCCCATTTAGTCTCAGCCCATCTTCCTTCTTTTTTACACCTCCTCCTCTTGTGAACAGGGGTTAAAGGCCCAACAGATACATTAATTGAGAGTATGATTGTTTAAGTCAGTAAGTGGTTGTTACATGAAAAAATAATAGCATTGTTCAGATATTATTGCAAGGATATATAAAACCTCAGTTTCACTTCAATGAGGTGACATGTTTTTTCAGGAAGGAAACGTAAACTGGTGGGGTTATGTTGAAAGGCAAAAATCTTTGAATTTTTGTGTTTGTCTTTTGTGCTGATCGTATTTGCATTTAATGTCCTGGAAGGTCGTTTGTTTTGTTCTTTTGCGTTGACTTTGGTTTCCTCTTGCTCCCAGCTGAACTGAAAAAGAAACAATCCAAACCAAAGAGGCCAACCATCAAGTCACTTTTCGGTAGGCTTTCTCTTGCTTTGGGACCATTCATTATATTCCTTATAGCTGTTTTCTTTTAGCTTGTGTTTCACTGTGTACGGTATACCTGCGTTTCTTTCATGTAATGTAACCATAAATCTTTTGAAGTGATAAAACTGGCTGACATGATTGATTGTGAATCAGAAACACCAGAGCAAGAGTTGTCCGACACATCTGCTCAAGGAAGCTTTTTAAAGCTCTTGCCACCCCAGTTAGAGGTATCTCGCAGAGACAAGAATCTTCCTCCCAGGTCCTAACAAGCTTCTCGCGTGATCTATCCACTGACACAGTAGGAATCATAACTCAGCATTTTAACCATTTCCACCTTTAAAATTTCACTCTTTGATGCGTTTGGATTTGTTCTTCATTACACTAATGGCTTGGACCAGTCTCGTCAGTGGCTCGCAACTATTGATTTGTAAATCTCTTACTCCTCACCACCTCCCTTGTTACACATGCTACACTAAAACATACACCCATTGTCTATCAATACTTCATACAATGTATATTCGCGTTCTCTTTTACATTAATGATACCAAAGCATTTGTCCATGTATCATTGGAGTGTAGTATATAAGAACAACATCTATTTACATTTTTTTTTTAAATATCATTAATTTGTAAGGGTTATGGTTCGTTTATTTATTATTGTATTGGACGGGATGCCTCTAAGCTGATGTCTACTTCATTGCTTACATTTTAAAATTGGAGGATTACTTTTCCTATTTACTCAGTTCTTTTCTGCACACTGAATTCTTCTGTAATATTTAGCCAGTTAACATGATACTGTATTTTTAGGAGTATTACCTACATTCTTATTGACAGTGTTTATTACACATAATATGTGAAAAGTTTCCTTTTGCATCTTTTATTGTGCATTACTTTTACTCTTGAATCTAACATGCTTCCTGCATCATATGGAAATGTAAAATCATCTTTCTTATTTCATGCATCACATCAACACTATTTTATTTTACTAAAAAACAAGAAACTGAAGTGTAATTTTTGAAGGGTGTCGGATTTGGTGAGCACTACTTTCAGAAGTTGACATGATTAATACCATCATACTGTGACGTGGTGGTATTGTTGCTGGCTTATCACTTATCTTATGCCAAAATTTAACGAAAATGGTTCAAACCAAACTGTTTTTGTACCCCTCAAATAATCTCAAATATTTTTCAGCTTAAAGATATTATTAACCTTGACATTCCAGTTTTGATCATACCGAAGATGCATCTGCTATTACGTATCATAGTCTGTATATTTTGTTTACGTTCTTANATTGATGCAATGATGGTTTTTGCGAAATTCACAGGTGGTCACTTGGAGCGATTATGTATGAAATGTTGGTGGGATATCCACCTTTTTATTCTGATGATCCGATGTTGACTTGTAGGAAGGTAATCATTTCAAAAGAAATGTTTCTTTTGATTATGCTTGTTTGACATTCACACTGGAAAGAGTAAACTTTCTATAAGTGCAGAGTGGTGGATCATAATTCATATTGATAATGCATTCTTTATTTTTTTATGAAGTACAAGCAATATGATATCATGCCTGGACTTCAGAAGCTAATTGTTTTGATTTTCTTATCAATGGTCTGTTAAAATATAGTATAGAAAGAACAATTAGTCAGAGTGTGTTTGGGAACCTGTTTTCATCATTGCAAATGGTAATTCACACTTTCCAAAGCATGAAATTAAGAAGAAACATTTTGTATCATTGGCATTGAACATCTGTTTTGATGATTTGAACTGAACCAAATACACATGCATTTAGCTTAAAATTGGAGAGGTAGAAAGGAGTGGCATAAAAATGTGCTAGAACAAAGCTGGAGGTTGGTTGGAGGAGAGATCTTTCTTGATTTTATTCATTTTTTCAGTCAAGCATTAAAATCACTTTTTTTTTCCTCTCAATTTCCATAAAACGGTTTTCTAACATGATTCATGGTATAGTGCAACCTACACTCTATAGTAGTAGCAAAATCATGTTTACATAATTGTGTATAAATTTTATAGAGCATGCTAATCTTGGTTTCTCTTTTGTGTAGATTGTAAATTGGAAAGCTTATTTGAAATTTCCTGAAGAAGCTAGGCTGTCCCCAGAAGCTAAAAATCTTATTAGTAAACTTTTGTGTAATGTAAATCAGAGGCTGGGGTCAAATGGTGCAGATGAAATAAAGGTGATGTATGCTCTATGACTTTCTAAATTCATCTGTTTGCTATATTATACTTTTTGGTATGGATTTTACCTTTTTGCCATATTCTTTAGGCTCATCCATTCTTCAAAGGTGTTGAATGGGATAAGCTGTATCATATGGAAGCTGCATTTATTCCTGAGGTCAATGATGAGTTAGACACTCAAAATTTTGAAAAGTTTGATGAGGTATTTGAGTCTCTTACATTTTCGCTTTGTGTAGCTTGTTAGAAGTGCCTTGTTCACTTATTCTCATTTTATCTTTTGCAATTGTAGTCTGACAGCCAAAGTCAATCATCGTCAAGATCTGGTCCATGGAGGAAGGTAATATTTGGCATTTCCTTCTCTGTGCGAAATTAGTTAGAAAGGACAGAGAAAATTAGTTAGTCATCTATAGAGCTTGTGTCTGCCCCCGGTAGTGTAGAAAGGACAGAGAAAATTAGTTAGTCATCATTTTATACTTTGCATGGATGTGATTTATGAGTAGATTATTGGTGTATATTTTAGTCGTCATATGAGTTGTGTTTGTTGTTGAGATGGTACAAACCATAGGCAGGACCATGGTGGTAGGAAAAATCAATTAGTCATCATTGCTTTGTTTATACTTTTTGAACTATTTATCTTCTTCAAACTCTTGATATGAATAATGTTTGGGATTGTACTTCCTACATCTAACTAACTTTACAATTTTTCTAACAAGAATTGATACTTGTGCGGAATATTTTGGAAACCTAAGTCATGGCCTGTTACGATCTAAGGTAGGGGTAATAATAAGGGTTGGAAAGTATATGAGCAGAGAGAATATTTAGTATAAGTTAATTAGAGTAAATAAATATAGTATAAGTTAATTAGAGTAAATAAATATATATTTAGGGAAATATTCAATATAAGATATTTATAATTAAGGATATATGCTAGGATAATATACGGAGAGATATTTATATTAAATATAGAGATATTTATATTAAATATAGGGATATTTATATTAAATATAAGGATATTTATATTAAATGCAGATAGAGGAATATTTAATAAGAGATGGGCTGGAAATAATTAATATAAATAAAGTTAGAGTCTAGGGTTAAAGGTATGCTTATGATTATTGAGTTTTGTGACAGACATTATTGTCTTGTGAGGGAGGTTATGCTCTCAAAGTAATTGAAGGAGGTTATGCTCCCAATTATTGTTTACCCTTGTTTATTCAGATATTACCATCAATAAAAGAGATTCATTCATCCATTGTTATTCGTTCATTGTTCTATTACGTGTGTTTATTGTTCTATTACGTGTGAGAGAGTGTGCAAGGTTGTATTTGGCTAGTTTACGTACTCAGGTACGTAACAATTGGTCCGACCTGCCGGATCATCATGGAGGGAAGAGTGAATGTCATTGAAGGAAGATTGGAGGTCATAGAAATCTCCATGGGAGGACTGGAGGCAGCAGTCCAGGAACTGGTGAAGGTGATGGGAGAGCGAGGTCGACGACATGAGGGAAATCCTGATGGAAGTCAGGGGTCTGTCAATGGGAGAAGGAATGAGGAGGACGAGAGAGAGGGCAGGAGGCTAGATGGTGGACACCGAGAGGAGCAACCATATTGGAGGAGAAGGGTAGACTTACCCATCTTCGAAGGAAGCGATCCTTTGAATTGGATCAATAGAGCGGACAAATTCTTTGAGCTACAAGGAGTGTCGGAGGAAGAAAAGTTGCACCTAGCCTATATCAGCATGGAGGGAATCGCAGGACACTGGTTCAGATTCTGGAGGGAGAAGGCCAGGAACCGTTCGTGGGCAGGATTAAAGGAGTCAATGGTGATCCGTTTTGGAGGAAGAAACCGGGGAACCGTCTTCGAGAGACTGGCGGCCTGTAAACAATCAGGAACCGTGGAAGAATACATCCAAGAATTTGAAGTCTTGGTCGGCCAAACGGAAACAATGCCCGACGCACAGCTGATGGGGTACTTTATGGCAGGATTGCAGGAGGGGATCCGTAATCAACTCAGATTACTTGATCCGCGGGAGTTGATGGACGTTATGAGACTGGCAAAGGATGTGGAAGAGTTCCAAGGGGGCGTGAAGGCTGGGAGCGGAAGTGTGATCGAGAATCAATCTGGAGAAAAACCGAACGGGGTGGATACGCGACTGGAGCTCAGTCGCCCGAACCAAGGCCGAACGGTAACTGTCGTGGAGAGCCGAGCGGACATCACGGAGAATGTGGGGACCGGACGAAAGGAAAGAAACGTGAGGGATCTACCTTATGAGGAATATGAAAAACGTAGGAAAGAAGGAAGGTGCTTTAGATGCGGCGAGCGGTTCGGTCCTGCGCACCGTTGTCCGGACAGGAGTTTGAGAGTCCTGATATATGCAGAGGACGACGAAGAATTTCCACCACCCAAACCTCCAGACTTGAATTGATGAGGAGCCATGAGATCAAGCTCCCCAATCCAACCTTGGGGACAAGGTTGTTTTGCAGCGAGGAGTAATGTTACGATCTAAGGTAGGGGTAATAATAAGGGTTGGAAAGTATATGAGCAGAGAGAATATTTAGTATAAGTTAATTAGAGTAAATAAATATAGTATAAGTTAATTAGAGTAAATAAATATATATTTAGGGAAATATTCAATATAAGATATTTATAATTAAGGATATATGCTAGGATAATATACGGAGAGATATTTATATTAAATATAGAGATATTTATATTAAATATAGGGATATTTATATTAAATATAAGGATATTTATATTAAATGCAGATAGAGGAATATTTAATAAGAGATGGGCTGGAAATAATTAATATAAATAAAGTTAGAGTCTAGGGTTAAAGGTATGCTGGTGATTATTGAGTTTTGTGACAGACATTATTGTCTTGTGAGGGAGGTTATGCTCTCAAAGTAATTGAAGGAGGTTATGCTCCCAATTATTGTTTACCCTTGTTTATTCAGATATTACCATCAATAAAAGAGATTCATTCATCCATTGTTATTCGTTTATTGTTCTATTACGTGTGTTTATTGTTCTATTACGTGTGAGAGAGTGTGCAAGGTTGTATTTGGCTAGTTTACGTACTCAGGTACGTAACATGGCCCGTGTTGAAATGTGTATTATTAAAGCTTTGAAAAACGTGAGCACTAGGTTAGCAATAACTTTCACGACACAGGGTTGCTTAGATCTTCTTGAGTCTGAATTATATTAGCTAAAGGCAGTTCTTGTTAACCATTATAAAAAACTTACCAGTGTATAACTTGGTTATACTTATTATTAGCAGCGGCCAAGGGGTATCTTGCAAGTTATAATTGTTAGTTATTTTGTTCTTTTTACCTGACGTCTATCACAATTGTTTAATATTTTCTCTTGCTACATTATATTCTCTATCTTCAAATCTTCAATTTGTTAATTTCTGTTTTCTCACTCCTATCGATTTCCTTTGTCCTTTTTTTTGTTGAGATGTTGCAGATGCTTTCATCTAAGGACTTAAATTTTGTTGGATACACATACAAGAACTTTGAAATTGTCAACGATTATCAAGTCCCTGGGATGGGTACATCTCTTTATTTATTTATTTTTTTTTTTCACTTTTTACTGCTTCAAATTGTTTTATGTTAATGTTTTTTGGGGATTCTCTTTTAGTCATGTCATAGCTATTATGCTTGTTATGTTAGATATATTTATTATAAGAGGGATATTCAGATATTCAAAATCATTTTTTAGATAATTATGGTTGAGGAGCTCTTTTTGTGTATGTGTTTCCATCTTAGGTACTGATAGAAACTGGTATTATATGAAAGGAAGTAGATGATATTGTAGGAGAACAATTACTTTACAGCCAAAACAGCATAACTCAAGCTTAGAAAAAGAAACCAGGAAAAACGGAAAATAGTAATCCAGAAAAGAAGATAACATCCAGAGTTGCAAGATGCAACCATGCCTACCAATACCTCACCCAATTTCTGTCACGCCCTTTTGCTACTCTCTCGTACCTCATGACTGAGTATTCCACTCCAATATCCTCTTTCCATGTGGACATTTTGTTATCCATATCTCACCTTCTAGTTTTGCATTTCCATGCTTTTAGCCCATTTAGTCTCAGCCCATCTTCCTTCTTTTTTACACCTCCTCCTCTTGTGAACAGGGGTTAAAGGCCCAACAGATACATTAATTGAGAGTATGATTGTTTAAGTCAGTAAGTGGTTGTTACATGAAAAAATAATAGCATTGTTCAGATATTATTGCAAGGATATATAAAACCTCAGTTTCACTTCAATGAGGTGACATGTTTTTTCAGGAAGGAAACGTAAACTGGTGGGGTTATGTTGAAAGGCAAAAATCTTTGAATTTTTGTGTTTGTCTTTTGTGCTGATCGTATTTGCATTTAATGTCCTGGAAGGTCGTTTGTTTTGTTCTTTTGCGTTGACTTTGGTTTCCTCTTGCTCCCAGCTGAACTGAAAAAGAAACAATCCAAACCAAAGAGGCCAACCATCAAGTCACTTTTCGGTAGGCTTTCTCTTGCTTTGGGACCATTCATTATATTCCTTATAGCTGTTTTCTTTTAGCTTGTGTTTCACTGTGTACGGTATACCTGCGTTTCTTTCATGTAATGTAACCATAAATCTTTTGAAGTGATAAAACTGGCTGACATGATTGATTGTGAATCAGAAACACCAGAGCAAGAGTTGTCCGACACATCTGCTCAAGGAAGCTTTTTAAAGCTCTTGCCACCCCAGTTAGAGGTATCTCGCAGAGACAAGAATCTTCCTCCCAGGTCCTAACAAGCTTCTCGCGTGATCTATCCACTGACACAGTAGGAATCATAACTCAGCATTTTAACCATTTCCACCTTTAAAATTTCACTCTTTGATGCGTTTGGATTTGTTCTTCATTACACTAATGGCTTGGACCAGTCTCGTCAGTGGCTCGCAACTATTGATTTGTAAATCTCTTACTCCTCACCACCTCCCTTGTTACACATGCTACACTAAAACATACACCCATTGTCTATCAATACTTCATACAATGTATATTCGCGTTCTCTTTTACATTAATGATACCAAAGCATTTGTCCATGTATCATTGGAGTGTAGTATATAAGAACAACATCTATTTACATTTTTTTTTTAAATATCATTAATTTGTAAGGGTTATGGTTCGTTTATTTATTATTGTATTGGACGGGATGCCTCTAAGCTGATGTCTACTTCATTGCTTACATTTTAAAATTGGAGGATTACTTTTCCTATTTACTCAGTTCTTTTCTGCACACTGAATTCTTCTGTAATATTTAGCCAGTTAACATGATACTGTATTTTTAGGAGTATTACCTACATTCTTATTGACAGTGTTTATTACACATAATATGTGAAAAGTTTCCTTTTGCATCTTTTATTGTGCATTACTTTTACTCTTGAATCTAACATGCTTCCTGCATCATATGGAAATGTAAAATCATCTTTCTTATTTCATGCATCACATCAACACTATTTTATTTTACTAAAAAACAAGAAACTGAAGTGTAATTTTTGAAGGGTGTCGGATTTGGTGAGCACTACTTTCAGAAGTTGACATGATTAATACCATCATACTGTGACGTGGTGGTATTGTTGCTGGCTCATCACTTATCTTATGCCAAAATTGAACGAAAATGGTTCAAACCAAACTGTTTTTGTACCCCTCAAATAATCTCAAATATTTTTCAGCTTAAAGATATTATTAACCTTGACATTCCAGTTTTGATCATACCGAAGATGCATCTGCTATTACGTATCATAGTCTGTATATTTTGTTTACGTTCTTAATTTGGACTGTGTTTTGATAGAAAAAAGTAAACGAATTGGCACATACTTCCTACTCAAAATATATTTTTTAAAATAGTGAAATTATAACAGGCGAAATTTGCATCAAATTTGCAATTGATTAATTGATCAATAGTTTACAGCAAAATTTATGTTTTCCCTTTTCTAAATCATGCGTACTTAAAGCAACAAATAGTGCCTCAACACATGTTTGAGGGAAGGAAAAAAAAGGTTAAATATTGTCGTATTCATATTAAAACCGCACCAATATATGTGATTGTTATGATTGATTGGTGCAAGAGCATTCCAAGGAAAACTTATTCGAATATTCTGTCCAGATTTCAGAGATGACATATGCCTTATTTTATCTTTAAAATATTTATTAATTTTTTTACATTTCTTCTATAAAACGTGATTTTATTATTTTATTATTTTCATCTACTTATATACCATGGTTTTATATTTTTATCTAAGATAAAAATGTCTCATTTTTATTTTTTACTTATATAAGATATTGACAAAGGATGTAAAATAAATTTCTCATCATTACTATTTAGATACTTTTAGTTTACAATAGTTTACTAATATTGATAAATGGCAGAATTGTTATAACTAAAAGAATTAACATATATATAAAAGATTATAAAAATTCAAAACTAATTAAAAAATGAAAAATTAAACTGTGTTTACCTAGAATCAACACATTTTGACTGCCTCCTTTAGCTCCAACATTTGATTTCTTCTCATATTTACAGTGTGACACTCACACTTCTTTTTTAATGCATTGGAATGGTTCCTTGCTTTATTTCTTTACTTCTTTTTTTTCTAAATATAAAATAATTGCATTCTCCTGCATACTCATTCCCTATGAAGCAGCCTTGATGAGGAAAATGTCAAACTTACATAAGAATTATATCACAAAACACCATGAAACAGCCCACGGATAATAACACCATTATTTTTCATGTGCCGTGTCGTTTAAAGCATGTTATTTAACTTCATCTTCTTTACTAATCAAAATTAGACATCAATAATCTTTCTATATTAAACTGTCATTGTAGCATGGTAAAATAATTGGGACGGTCCTTCCATACCCATTCACCCTTAATAAACTAACATAACCTTCGCTTTCTTCTAAAAGGTGGTTTAATAATTACTCAATTAATATATCTTATTCTCGGTTAATAATGAAAAGGAAATTTTAAAGAAGAATGCCACTAAATAAATATCTACAAGGGAAGGATTGAAAAGTGTTGAAGTAAAAAGCAGAACTGATATGATAAATGTGTACTGTGTACGAAAAGCAATTTCCATTTCGTTCCTAATTCCTCAGTGGCTTTGCGAAGTCAGAGAGGATTAAGATAAACAAGTGAAAAGCAATTTTCACTACAGTTTATGATGACATTAATCATATTATTATTTATATAGGGTAGTTGCTCCTTCTCCATCACCATGTCACCACAAACAAAAACGTCACTCTCCATGCTATTCACATCAGCTTTGAAAAATAGCTCAAAGTTAAGACATGTAATAAAAAGCTTATAAACATTTAAGTTCATTACTATAATAGTAAAATCACTGCCAAATCGACGTGTAATGATTAGGCTTCTAGCCACTTATCTTTTTCTTAGTGGCTTTATTATGCCGGCCAGCCCCTGGAATTGGCAATGTCATTGACAATACAATACAAAACAACACAATAAACTCTTTTTTTCTTTTTTTATCGTCAAACTTTGCCTTTAAAAGTGGCACAAGCCTATTCTTCAAAGCCCCTCTTACACCTTCTCCTCCCTTGTTCCTCTTCTTTTGTGTTTTGCTCTTGTTTCTTTTCCCTATCTCAATAATTTATTACATTTCTTGCATTATTTGATCCTTGTATGATGAAAGTGGGATTCGAGCTGGTTCATGCAAATTATAATCCAAACATGATTCGTTCGCACATGCATGAAACATGGGATCACTACTCAAATATTATTACTTCCTTGCCATTTTCTGCTCCAACCCCATCAAACCTATATCCAAAGCCAGCAACAGAAAACCAGTGCCTAAACATGGGGCAGAATGAAGTCTCTGATTGGATGGAGGAACACATTGATGACATCACTAAACACCTTGTTGAAGACTTACCAGAAACCACTTCTGATAGCTTGGTGCCAAATAACACAACAAGGGTTTCCCATCACAACCTTGTTCCCTCACTTTTACCCAACTTGATCAGTGAAAGAAAAGCTTCAGGCTTTAGACCCCAATTTGAGGCCATCACCAATGTTCACTCAGGTTTAGATCATAGCTACAATGTCTGTGATCAAGGGTTGAGCCTCATAAGCCTTCTAATGGAGTGTGCAGTGGCAATTTCAGTCGACAACCTGGGTGAGGCTCATAGGATGTTACTAGAGCTAACACAAATGGCCTCTCCCTACAAAGCATCGTGTGGTGAACGCGTTGTTGCTTATTTTACCAAGGCCATGACTTGCAGGGTCATGAATTCTTGGCTTGGGATGTGTTCCCCTTTGCTTGATCACAGAAACATTAACTCAGCATTCCAAGTCTTCAACAACGTTTCCCCTTTCATAAAATTTGCTCACTTCACTTCCAACCAGGCAATCCTTGAGGCAGTAAACCATTGTGACAGTATTCACATAATCGACTTGGACATCATGCAAGGCCTGCAATGGCCAGCTTTTTTCCATATATTAGCCACCAGAATGGAGGGTCCACCACAGGTAACCATGACATGCTTCGGAACCTCAACGGAACTCCTCGTTGAAACTGGGAAACAGCTCTCCAACTTTGCAAGAAGGCTTGGTATGTCATTCAAGTTCCACCCCATTGCAAGCAAGTTTGGGGAAGTAATCGATGTGTCTTTGCTGCATGTAAAGCCTGGCGAGGCACTGGCAGTGCATTGGTTGCAGCATTCACTGTACGATGCAACTGGACCTGATTGGAAAACACTAAGGCTCCTTGAGGAGTTGGAGCCAAGAATAATCACCTTGGTGGAGCAAGATGTGAACCATGGAGGCTCATTCTTGGATCGTTTTGTGGGCTCCTTGCACTACTACTCCACCCTATTTGATTCTCTTGGAGCATACTTACACTTTGATGATGAAAACAGGCACCGTGTGGAGCATGCCCTTCTCTCTAGGGAAATCAACAATGTGTTGGCCATAGGAGGCCCTAAGAGGAACGGTGAAGACAAGTTTAGGCAGTGGAGAAGAGAGCTTGCTAACCACTATTTTCAGCAGATTCCCATGAGTGCCAATTCAATGGCTCAAGCTCAGTTGATATTGAACATGTTCTCACCAGCTTATGGGTATAGTCTTGCACAAGTTGATGGCACATTAAGGCTTGGATGGAAGGATACAAGTTTGTACACAGCTTCTGCATGGACCTGTTGTACTTCTAACTAGCTTCCTACCTTCAGAAAATTCAGCTGTATATTCAGAACATTCATTTTTCTATTTCCTCCCTTGAGAAATCTAGCTTCTTTGCTTTTTCTTCCATTTTTTTTTGCTTCCTATTTTCTTGGTTCTCATGCCCTTGGTAATTTAACCACATGACAAAACATTACAAGTTAAATGCTACTGTGTCTACATTAAGTTTGTTTCCCTTTATGTGGTCCCAAATGTTGTTTAAATTTAGACATGCATATGCGTATGCATAATAAAAAATAAGAGTGGCAACAACTTTCTCAACTTTAATTGGTTTTTGTTTCACAGACCTTTTGTGTGTGTGAACAAGCAATTAGGTTATCTTCGCTTCAGGCAGGAATGCACTTCATTAATACCTAATCAAATTGTGTCCAACTTTTATAGGTGAAGCATGTTTTGTGGAAAATGCGTACTACAGTGGAATATTTTTTAACCCTACAGATTAACTTTTTCTTTTTTCAGAAATCTGAAAACTTTTCCATGTTCATTTTATTTTTAAGCAGTAAAATATTTAAAAGATAATATTTTTTGGCGCTATTTTCACGGAAACGTGATAATATAATTATTCCGATAGGTTAAAAAAGAGTTTAGCTGCGATGAAAATAACTTTTTTTATTTGTATTTTGTCAAAACCTGAAAATATATTTGGAAGGGAGTCACAGATGTCTCAAAAGAGTGAATATTTTATAAAATTTCTCAAACCACAGTTCATCTCATTTTCTCATAAATATGCATCTCTCTAAAACTCAAGCCTCTAACTTTTATCCTCCTTCTCTCTAGAAATTTTTCATCTCCTTTCATTTTTTTCTTCAACCAACCACTGTTTAAGCAAACTAGGAGGCAAGATCATTGTTTTCCACCGATCAAAATCAAGCTTAGAGTTGGTAAGTTCATCCTCTTCTTAGAAATTCTATTTTCGGACACATGCAAGCCATGTTTCTGGTTGCATTCATCAGCTTCTTCTTCTTATTTCTAATCACTTTTCTAGTATTTGGGTTGGTCCGTTATCGCAAATTGGAGAACGGTAGGTTCTTGAGATTTTCTGGTATTAGGAGCAAATTTTTGAAGTGGTAGAGCTGTTCGGTCCGGTTAAGAGGTAAGGGAAGCTAGCTAATTTAATTACTTGGTTTGATGTATGAATATATTGTTTGATGATTAAGCATGTGTATGAAATTGATTTGGATGATTCTGTATGAATGTAAAATTGGATGAATTGGGTGTTCGATGTTGTTGGTGTGGAATATTGATGCTGTGTTTATGATGATTTTGTTTTTGCATAATTCTGGTTTAGTGGCCGAGTGAAATTGGTAAGGTTTGGTGTTGATCCTAACTTTGCAGTTATTCTGCAGAATTATGTAGTTTGCTGAAGGCCTTTAATTGATCGTTCGACTTCTCTCTAGTGTTCGGTCTTAACTTAGTTCTGCTATTGTGGATTCTCAGTTAATGACCGCTCGGTCTAGTGTTGATTTTTAATTTAATATAGCGTTCGGTCTGTCATATACTATAACTGTTAGTGACTGCTCGGTCTCGGTAGTGCTCAGCCAGATGCCAGCACTCGGTTTCAGTAGTGCTCGGTGATGCACTAAGCACTTGGTCTCAGCTTATTACCAAAATTACGTAACTGAAATTGAAACTAAGAGTGTTCGGTCTAATCTCGTAGTATTCGGTTTAAGCTCTTAGATTTTGATTACAAGCTTTAGTATTTGATTATGTCCAATTATAGATGTTCTATATTATTCAGTCAATTCTTTGGATTCTGTTTAGTAAATATAGTTCGGTTATAGTCTTTGAATAATGAGAAAATGTTTTGTCTCACAATAAGCATTGGGTTCAACTAAAGTGTTTAGCCTGGTTATAACGATCGGCATAAGCCTCAGTGTTCAGCTTAAGCCTATAGTGATTTGTCTAAGATAATAGTGTTCGGTATGGTTTACTAGTAATCGGCATTAATCAATAAATGTTCCGTCTAATTCAATAGTACTCTGATCAAGCTAATAGCGTTTGGCTCATGTTTGAGTTTCACTCTTTACATGATCGTTCGGTCATGTTCACCATAGGGAAACAATATCCTGTACGATCATGTTCGCATATGGGGGTGTTCTACCGTCAGGTTTTATTCATAATAAGTGTTGATATTTCTGAGTCAGTTGTGCTCAATGGTGATGTTATTTTAATGTTCGGTTTGAAGTTATTTAAAGGTGTTATGGATGAGGAAATATGTTGTTAATGAAATATGATGATATTTAAAATGTGATATGAATAGTATGGATATGAAAGAGTATTCCAGGGAGGAATATCTCAGGATTTGTTATGGAATGGTAAAGTATGAATGTGGTCATGCTAAGGTGGCGTTTATCCTGATATTCTATGATTACTCATTCTCAAGTAGAGAGGAGTAAATCATGTGTGAGAATGGTAGGAGGTCCTAGTTCATAAGGTTAAGATGGACGAAGTATAACGGACTAACCTCGGGTGGCAGTTGTTGAGGGCATCCCAGTTACTACATCACCCGGGTGCAAAAACGTCGTAGCTACATAATTCATACAGTCCGGACAGTCAAAGTGAAAATGGTCGGTTATAATATGTTGGTGTGATTTCTGTAGAAGTATGATTGTTTTATGTGTTTGTATGAAATGAATGTTTACATAGTTAATTAAATTACACTAGCTTACCCTTATTTTCCTGTCTTGTCATGTGATCCGTTCGATCGTCCTTGTCTTTGCAATGATCACCGATGGGTGTGAGCAGAAGGTGCAGATGACCGTTCGGTAGTTTAAGAGCAAGACTGTTCGATCTTGTACTCCTGTTGTATTTGTGTAGGACCGTTTGGTCGATACACTTCTCGTATGACCGACCTCTTTTGGTGTGTATTAGTATTGTTTCTGTAAAGTTTTTACTTTATGGTTATTTTAGGGTAACTTTAAATTAACTTTACTTTTCCTTGTAATGGTTCTATTTTATTATAAATATAAGGATCCTTAAGTATAGTTTAAAACTATATTTTTGGGATGTTACATATTTAATGTGTGATAAATGATTTAAAATTTCGGTACAAATGTTAAATTACTTTCAATTTTGAATATTTTTATAAACATTTTAAAACTCATGATTAACCAGAAATAATTTTTAATTTTCAAAAAATATGATTTAAAGATGTGAAAACGTCATGGATTCAAAGTTTATACTAGTTTAGATAATTTGTATCAAATTCTAAGTTCAAAGTTTATTGTTGATAAAAAAAAGATTAGGTTCACTTTTTTCATAATTTACAATTCTATTCTCAAAATGTTTCTCGGAATTTACTATATTAAACAATTTTGGTCCACGTATCAAAATTGCTATAAAAAAGATGTTGCATAAATATAAATGAAAATAGTGGCAAAAACTTGTTCAAATAACTTATGGACAGTAATAAGATTTAAGCAAACACTTTCATATACTTTTTCTAAGTTAAATGTTTAATACTTTGCGTGAATATACTTTTAGGATCAGAATTTCGTTTTTAATACATTAAAGACAAAAAATTATCAATCTTCAAAATATTAAGTATTATTTCCATTTAGTTTTCAATGAATTTTGTTAAAGGGGTAGTTAAATGTCTAAGGGTTTGCTATAACTTTGTAAAAGCTAAGAACTATTTTGCTTTGAAAATAAAATATTTATTTAAAGAGACATGTTAACTTGTATTTCTTACTATTTTTTTCGTTTTTATTAATGGGTGCTTTGAATTTGCAGAATGATTACCTTCATGGGCCAAATGTCTATGATGACGATGATCTGGTGGTGATAAAATAATTGTTGAAAATCATTGAAGACAGAATAGAAAAGATAATCAAATTATACGAAAATTTGAGTTTGAAGAGGAAGAAAGGGAAACTCGTTATAATTTTTGTTTTGAGTTAGAAGGATTCACTGGTGAATCACAAGACTTGTAATTACAAGAACAAAAGGAGGTAAAGAAACCACTTGGAACATCAAATCAAGAACCTTGAAAGGAGAGTTTACGTGCTACAATGAATGTAAATTAAGCATTATGTATTTTTTTTTAAATTTATATTGTAATTATTAATGGAGGTACTTTATATTAAATCATCAATAAAATTAATTTTAATTAATTTTTATATACTTTGCAATTTTATATTTTATTTATTTTTTATTATAAAAAACAAATTTTATTAAATTAAGAAATTATAAATATAGATAGGTTATTATAAAGTTTCAAACTTTTACAAAANCACCAGAATGGAGGGTCCACCACAGGTAACCATGACATGCTTCGGAACCTCAACGGAACTCCTCGTTGAAACTGGGAAACAGCTCTCCAACTTTGCAAGAAGGCTTGGCATGTCATTCAAGTTCCACCCCATTGCAAGCAAGTTTGGGGAAGTAATCGATGTGTCTATGCTGCATGTAAAGCCTGGCGAGGCACTGGCAGTGCATTGGTTGCAGCATTCACTGTACGATGCAACTGGACCTGATTGGAAAACACTAAGGCTCCTTGAGGAGTTGGAGCCAAGAATAATCACCTTGGTGGAGCAAGATGTGAACCATGGAGGCTCATTCTTGGATCGTTTTGTGGGCTCCTTGCACTACTACTCCACCCTATTTGATTCTCTTGGAGCATACTTACACTTTGATGATGAAAACAGGCACCGTGTGGAGCATGCCCTTCTCTCTAGGGAAATCAACAATGTGTTGGCCATAGGAGGCCCTAAGAGGAACGGTGAAGACAAGTTTAGGCAGTGGAGAAGAGAGCTTGCTAACCACTATTTTCAGCAGATTCCCATGAGTGCCAATTCAATGGCTCAAGCTCAGTTGATATTGAACATGTTCTCACCAGCTTATGGGTATAGTCTTGCACAAGTTGATGGCACATTAAGGCTTGGATGGAAGGATACAAGTTTGTACACAGCTTCTGCATGGACCTGTTGTACTTCTAACTAGCTTCCTACCTTCAGAAAATTCAGCTGTATATTCAGAACATTCATTTTTCTATTTCCTCCCTTGAGAAATCTAGCTTCTTTGCTTTTTCTTCCATTTTTTTTTGCTTCCTATTTTCTTGGTTCTCATGCCCTTGGTAATTTAACCACATGACAAAACATTACAAGTTAAATGCTACTGTGTCTACATTAAGTTTGTTTCCCTTTATGTGGTCCCAAATGTTGTTTAAATTTAGACATGCATATGCGTATGCATAATAAAAAATAAGAGTGGCAACAACTTTCTCAACTTTAATTGGTTTTTGTTTCACAGACCTTTTGTGTGTGTGAACAAGCAATTAGGTTATCTTCGCTTCAGGCAGGAATGCACTTCATTAATACCTAATCAAATTGTGTCCAACTTTTATAGGTGAAGCATGTTTTGTGGAAAATGCGTACTACAGTGGAATATTTTTTAACCCTACAGATTAACTTTTTCTTTTTTCAGAAATCTGAAAACTTTTCCATGTTCATTTTATTTTTAAGCAGTAAAATATTTAAAAGATAATATTTTTTGGCGCTATTTTCACGGAAACGTGATAATATAATTATTCCGATAGGTTAAAAAAGAGTTTAGCTGCGATGAAAATAACTTTTTTTATTTGTATTTTGTCAAAACCTGAAAATATATTTGGAAGGGAGTCACAGATGTCTCAAAAGAGTGAATATTTTATAAAATTTCTCAAACCACAGTTCATCTCATTTTCTCATAAATATGCATCTCTCTAAAACTCAAGCCTCTAACTTTTATCCTCCTTCTCTCTAGAAATTTTTCATCTCCTTTCATTTTTTTCTTCAACCAACCACTGTTTAAGCAAACTAGGAGGCAAGATCATTGTTTTCCACCGATCAAAATCAAGCTTAGAGTTGGTAAGTTCATCCTCTTCTTAGAAATTCTATTTTCGGACACATGCAAGCCATGTTTCTGGTTGCATTCATCAGCTTCTTCTTCTTATTTCTAATCACTTTTCTAGTATTTGGGTTGGTCCGTTATCGCAAATTGGAGAACGGTAGGTTCTTGAGATTTTCTGGTATTAGGAGCAAATTTCTAAAGTGGTAGAGCTGTTTGGTCCGGTTAAGAGGTAAGGGAAGCTAGCTAATTTAATTACTTGGTTTTAATGTATGAAATTGATTTGGATGATTCTGTATGAATGTAAAATTGGATGAATTGGGTGTTCGATGTTGTTGGTGTGGAATATTGATGCTGTGTTTATGATGATTTTGTTTTTGCATAATTCTGGTTTAGTGGCCGAGTGAAATTGGTAAGGTTTGGTGTTGATCCTAACTTTGCAGTTATTCTGCAGAATTATGTAGTTTGCTGAAGGCCTTTAATTGATCGTTCGACTTCTCTCTAGTGTTCGGTCTTAACTTAGTTCTGCTATTGTGGATTCTCAGTTAATGACCGCTCGGTCTAGTGTTGATTTTTAATTTAATATAGCGTTCGGTCTGTCATATACTATAACTGTTAGTGACTGCTCGGTCTCGGTAGTGCTCAGCCAGATGCCAGCACTCGGTTTCAGTAGTGCTCGGTGATGCACTAAGCACTTGGTCTCAGCTTATTACCAAAATTACGTAACTGAAATTGAAACTAAGAGTGTTCGGTCTAATCTCGTAGTATTCGGTTTAAGCTCTTAGATTTTGATTACAAGCTTTAGTATTTGATTATGTCCAATTATAGATGTTCTATATTATTCAGTCAATTCTTTGGATTCTGTTTAGTAAATATAGTTCGGTTATAGTCTTTGAATAATGAGAAAATGTTTTGTCTCACAATAAGCATTGGGTTCAACTAAAGTGTTTAGCCTGGTTATAACGATCGGCATAAGCCTCAGTGTTCAGCTTAAGCCTATAGTGATTTGTCTAAGATAATAGTGTTCGGTATGGTTTACTAGTAATCGGCATTAATCAATAAATGTTCCGTCTAATTCAATAGTACTCTGATCAAGCTAATAGCGTTTGGCTCATGTTTGAGTTTCACTCTTTACATGATCGTTCGGTCATGTTCACCATAGGGAAACAATATCCTGTACGATCATGTTCGCATATGGGGGTGTTCTACCGTCAGGTTTTATTCATAATAAGTGTTGATATTTCTGAGTCAGTTGTGCTCAATGGTGATGTTATTTTAATGTTCGGTTTGAAGTTATTTAAAGGTGTTATGGATGAGGAAATATGTTGTTAATGAAATATGATGATATTTAAAATGTGATATGAATAGTATGGATATGAAAGAGTATTCCAGGGAGGAATATCTCAGGATTTGTTATGGAATGGTAAAGTATGAATGTGGTCATGCTAAGGTGGCGTTTATCCTGATATTCTATGATTACTCATTCTCAAGTAGAGAGGAGTAAATCATGTGTGAGAATGGTAGGAGGTCCTAGTTCATAAGGTTAAGATGGACGAAGTATAACGGACTAACCTCGGGTGGCAGTTGTTGAGGGCATCCCAGTTACTACATCACCCGGGTGCAAAAACGTCGTAGCTACATAATTCATACAGTCCGGACAGTCAAAGTGAAAATGGTCGGTTATAATATGTTGGTGTGATTTCTGTAGAAGTATGATTGTTTTATGTGTTTGTATGAAATGAATGTTTACATAGTTAATTAAATTACACTAGCTTACCCTTATTTTCCTGTCTTGTCATGTGATCCGTTCGATCGTCCTTGTCTTTGCAATGATCACCGATGGGTGTGAGCAGAAGGTGCAGATGACCGTTCGGTAGTTTAAGAGCAAGACTGTTCGATCTTGTACTCCTGTTGTATTTGTGTAGGACCGTTTGGTCGATACACTTCTCGTATGACCGACCTCTTTTGGTGTGTATTAGTATTGTTTCTGTAAAGTTTTTACTTTATGGTTATTTTAGGGTAACTTTAAATTAACTTTACTTTTCCTTGTAATGGTTCTATTTTATTATAAATATAAGGATCCTTAAGTATAGTTTAAAACTATATTTTTGCGAATCAATTTAAAATTAAAAAAATAATAATAAAATATATCAGATTGAAATCATAAAATAACTTATTTCACACAATTAAAATACAAATAATATTAAATTTGCACTGAACATCAGAAAAGTACGACTAATAATAAATATATTTGTTGTAGAAAAGAATCATATACTGTTATTAGATTTTTTTTCCAAGAAAGGAATTATGAAATATAAATACAATTTATATGAGAGATGATCAAACTATGCCAAACCTCTTCAGACATTCAAATAATGGGGTTATAGAGTATAGTTCCTTATATATATATATATACATACTTTTTTATTTAATATTAAACTGAAACTTAAATTTTAATTTCCAAACAATTATTATCTTATTTTCTTATTGTGATCTGATTGTGGCAAAGGGTAGAGATTGTGGTTGTGTGGGACACAAGGTTAGCCTAGCACGAAGGAAGTAGCAAACAAAAAAGTTGTCGGCACCAACAAGCTTATAGACGGCGAAAAATGTAAACTGTGAAAAAGAAAAAGAAAACATAGGAAGCATCATAAACTCCTAAGTAACAAAATAATATGTGGTGCACCATGGAAATAATGAACAACTTGCAACTTTTTTTATATTTTCTTATAATATTTAATATGTGATTTCGATTTTAATTTTCTATTTTTTTCAAATTTAACTTTTTGTTATATGACATGATATGATACGTTGATGTGGCATTTTAATGTTAATGTGACGTTTATGTACACCAGAGATGTTATGTGACTATAATTTAGAAAATTTAATAAAAATGGTGAAAATGTGTGTGTAAATATGGAGACAGTGACTTTTCTTCTATTTATTAACTTAAAAATTCATTTGGTTTATTTGATGATAAAATTTGATTATTTTAATATTAATGTTTTTAATATAAAGATATTTACTAGGAATGAGTTTTATTATTTTAAAATGTATTATTTTTTAGAGTTTTTTAATTTTTTTTAAGATTCTTATCTCTTGTTTATTTATTTAAATATTAGAGATTGTATAAGTGATTACAGTGATAATATCTTTAACTCTATCGTAGTGTTTTGCATGTGTCATATGAGTCTTTTATAAAACTATTTACTAATCATTGATTCTAACGGTATACTCTATGTTTCTGTGAGTTGTATGTACAGATAGAGTTTCTTGAGTTGGTGGAGTTGTCTTAGCTCCTATAGAACAATTGGTCCTCTGTAAGGTAATGAAAGCTAATATTTACTTTAATTTGTGTTAAGAAGTATAAATTTATGTTTTTTAGGTTGTGAGAATGAGATTTGATTGAATATGTTATCATTTGAGATAATTATTTTAGTAAGAATTGTGTTTGATGAATGAATTTGGATTATTGATGAATGTTGTTGTGAATGATTGTGAATTGGTACTTACTTGAACTTTGAATGTTGTTGTTTTGGAGAGCTAGGAGGTATAAATCTCTTTTAGAATTGAAGTAGTGGAATGGAAGTGTTGTTGGAGGTTTTCGGTCTAATTTGAGGTTTTTCTAGGTGAAATTCTATAAGAGTGATTTTGGAACTATAATTGATGTTGGGTACTTTTTTTTAGATCATTACAAAATTTTCTAAGACTTTAATTAACCATAAATCTTATATTGAGTTGGTAAGTAGTTAATATGTTGAGTTTTAGGTTGTTTTTTGTCCATTTTAGGAGTTTTAACAAGTGAAAGTTTAAAGGATAGGTTTATGTTAAAATTGAAGATTTGTGGGTCTGTTTTTGAGTCAATTATGACTTGTTTAGATCCTTAGTTTGTTAAATTCTAGTTTATAATGTGTAGAATTGGTTATAAGTGTTTTTGAGTGGTTGGGTTTATCTAATGCATCTTGTCTATGACCAAATGAGCAAAGAGGTACTCAATTTCATCAATAAACATGTTTTTGCCTATTAGTATTTTAAAGCTTGTTTATTAATAAAATATTGAATTATATGCTGATTTTTGCGTGAGGTTATAAATGTGGTGAAGTATGGTTTGAAAA